GGAGGAGGAGGAGGAGGAGAAGGGGGGTTTTCCTGCAGGGCTCGTTACACGACGGGATCCTCCGTTAAGGACGTGCCCCTGCCGCCTGCGGGCGGCCTGCTCTGCTGCTTCCCCCGAAGGCAAAAGCTGACACTTCTGCCGGCAGCAGCGGCAGGAGGGTCTGTTTGCAAAGCTGTAATCTCGTAATGTGTTTTTGGTTGCCGCTTTTTTTCCTATTTCTAGCAAGTGCGTGAGCAGCCCTCCCCCCCACACACACACACCGTAATGCCAATCAAGCCTTAAGTTTTCCTCAGGCTTCCCAGTATTATGAAATACTTCTATTACAGGACGAAGTCCCCGTTGTTCAGTCTAGTAGCATCCTCCCTCCCCAATGCCTTTTCTTTACCCTCAACTTGAAACACAAAGCTCTCAAGAAAGCAGCCGTAGCAGGTATCCTTAAAGTGCTCATTCCCGTTTCTATGAACATTGCCAGCATTACGTTTCTGTGTTTTTTTATTCGTTAAGGCTAACAGGAAATGCTGGGGCGGCGCTGCTGCACCCCGGGAGCCCCTCAGGCGGAGGCTGCAGTTCCCGCTGCAAGGGAGAGGGGCCCCGGGAGTCGCGGAGTAAGGGTAGGAGAGTAAGAGAGAGAAAAAAAAAATCCAAGCACTCAGTTCAACTAATTTTTTTTCCCTGGTGTTTTTATGTTTGTATCTAATTTTAACCTTCCTTTTAATCGTGCATTCAACTCATCTCATGAGTCATGTTCATTTATAATCCATGTTCTCCTGAAATATTTTGCAGTATATTAGGATCTAGCTGTTTGGGCCTTACCCTTATATAAACCATAAGGACCTTTGTGATAAATGCTGAAAGTTTTGGGTTTGCTTGTAGTTCACTGGGAAGTTGGCTCACTTGCTTCTGTTCTGCCACAGGCCAACACTGATTAATCACCTTGTCCTGTTTCTCAGTGAGATTTACAGTGATCATCAAAACACTGCAGTAATACAAAAACATTTCAGAGTAAATACAAAAAAATGTTTTTCCATTTGATTTATTTTCATAATAAACCAATTAAAAATACAAAAGACAAGAACCCAAGGTTCAAAGGGCTCCATCATTTAAAAATTTGCCTTTTAAATACAAATTCACTCTGTAATATGAATACATATAACATTAGACCTCTAAACATAATGATCTTATTTGCATCTATCAAAAATTTGTATGGAAACAAATTAGCTGAAAAACTTCCTTGTGACATTGAATGTACATTATTTACAATCAAAAAAACCTCTTAGCAGTAATAATCTCAGAACTCCTGCATAAATTGTATATATTTCATTTCCCTCCCCCCCTTACAAAATAATCTGAAGTAGAAAGCGAAATTGTTAAAATCCATAGTCAAAAATGGCATGAAACATTTGCATCTGTAGTGATGCCATTAGTTTCTGTAATTAAATATATCTGATGTTTTCATATAAAATATAGTCCTGGCATTGTCCATTACTGGAACAAATGTTTTGTGTACTCTCAATAGGAGTGTATATTTCATTTTGCACACACGAGAACGTGTGTCGCAAAAAAAACTGCAACACGAGGATACCTGGTTATCACTGTCCATTATTAAAGGCTAAATCTGATGTAACTGACTGGTATGAAATACATACACTTGATCATAAAAAAAAAAATACACATGGAATGAAAATGTTCCGTCAAAAGTAAAAGTAACTGTTGCTTCAAAAGTTAAGTGATACATGTATGGATTAAACAGAGAGGTTACAATAATGTTATTGTAATGTAAATTAGCAACAGACTGGAAACATACAAATATGTAAGAAGTTTGGAACTTTGGCCAAAAAAACCTCAATAGAAAATCTTCATAGCATAAAAAAGCACGTTCCTTCATGCCTGTATTTTGAAACATGAGTAATATGTATTTTTATTTATATGATAACATTTAGCAATTAACAGAAAATCAAAACCCGTCCTAAAGCATGAATCCTACCAATTAACTGCAGAAATTAAGTAGCTTTGTAACTTTGGAATCAAATCATATATACAATAACCAAAAAGGTCCCATCACATTTATGAAAACGATCATCCACAGGGTCTTTTTTGTTGCTGCTGTTTTTGGTATTTAGTTATACGAGCTGGGTTCCAAGGGCTCGTTTTCTTGCTTCACCTGCACGTTAGGCGGGAAACCGTTCGGACCGGACACGACCATGACGAAGGGCGGCTGCTCGGCCTGCTCGGCGTCGCCCCCCTCCTCGCGGCCGCCGTCCCTGCCCGCTCCCGCCTTGGCCTCGGGCGCTTTGATGACCGACGTGATGACAGTGCCCGGCGGATGGGCCACCACCTGGGAGCCGCCGCTGGAGAAGGTCACCACGGGGGCGGCGGCGCCGAAGGAGGGCGCCGCCGAGGCCACGGTGGCCGTCCCGTTGCAAACTGTCTGCACGCTGCTGGTGAGGACCTGCTGCACCTGCGCCGGGCTCAGCACGATGGACGGCGGAGGGGACACCGGCTTCTGCGACGGCAGCAGGACGTTCTCCTTGAGGACTGTCATGGGTTGCGACGTGGGAGTGACTTGTAGGATGAACTTCTGAGGAGCTGTCGTGGAGGCTGGGTCTGTGCTGGCTATCACCGTGGTCAGAGGCACCGTCTGGAGTGTCACCGTGTGCAGCTGCGGGTTCCCGGGAGAAACCACCACCGGCACCTGCGTCGGCGTCTGTAAAGGCCTGTGCAGGCCAGGAAAGAGCGCAGCGTCAGAGCACTTTAAGTTTTAAAAAACAATTAAACTCTTACTAACCACAAAAAAATCATCTGGCATCCAAGCATTCACTTATGATTTCTAAGGATTCCAAGGAGGGAAGCACTCTCCTAATATAACAAAACCTCCCTAAATCAGCAACACATTTCCCAAAGCAATGGGGTACACTTCATAAGGAAACCTGGGACTCAACTCCCTATCGGGTTTCAACAAATCCTACACAAACACCATCCATTTCAAGGTACCCAGCCAAATTAAATCTTAAATAAAGCCTCCATTCTCCCACTAGCCCTGTGTGTGTAACTATCCCCACAAGCGCCCGCACTGTCACGGCTTTCTCGGACTCCCCTTCTGCCTGCCAGGCTTACGCACTCCTAAGGGAAAACCTTCTGGACAGAATCTGCCCTCAGACAAACAAACAAAAAATTAGAAATGATTCCATCCGTTTCAGACTGACAGACCTGGGTACCAAAATACTTTCCAAATAGGTACAGCTGAGAGGACAAAGTGAGAAGAGACACATGACTGAAATACAGAAATCCTACAGTAGAAAATGGTGATTTATAAATGTGGCTGAAGCACCAGAACTTCACTCCTGCACCATACCTATTTGAAAAATAAATAAATTATAAAAATACACACACACACACACACAGAGACCCCACACTCCTGGTGAAGAGAACGATTTCCAGCGGGGGACAAAGAGGGTGAGAAGGGAAACTAGTTCTACACTGTTCCCACACCATTTGTATTGCTATTTCTCATTCGCTTTGCACCTTTATCTTTAGCACCTTATAAATCATGGTAATTTTGCCATGCCGTATTTATTTTGGAACCTACAGTTTTTGAGAATAGTTTACTCCATGTTTACTTTTTATAGTCCTGTCTCACCACCACCGTTTTTCCCCCTCTCTGAATCAGCATTATTAAAAGTTTGCTAAATCTGTTTAAAATCTGCTAGTTGGCTGTTTGCTCCAGCCCACCCGGCCACCCTGTCCCTGACAATTTTTTTTCCCTCTCCCTCCGTCCTGAAAATTTCTCTGCGACCTCCCTGCTTTGCCTCAGTGTTTCTCCTGCTAATCTTCCTCTGCATATTCAGCCTTAACCTCTCACTTGTGTTTTCTTTAACATATTTGACACTAAGTGAAAACAAACATAATTGTCTCCTCCTAGCTTATTTCTACCCCCGCTGAAATCATTTTAGATTCAAAGGCACCTTCAATATTTCTGCTTTCAAGTCCATGTGCTCAGGAGAAGGCCCTTCTCTAACCTTCAAACATTCCCTCCTACAACTCCACTAACCCAGCTGATAGCAAACTCAGAGCACATCCCATCCCCGTTTTCTTGGAATTCTCCAGCAGCCACTTCTTGCTGCAGGCAACTCTTCCCACCTCTTATATGGGCTTACTAATGTAAGAAAAAGAATCCTTATCTGTAGCTTTCTCCTCGGAAGAAGGAAGTCAGCAGTATCCAGGATGGTCTTTATAGCAAAACAAATCCAAATACTTGTCCATCCAAACAAATCCAAAGAGTTGGGATGCAAAAGTGGATGTGTTTGGTGTCAGTATGACAGTGGAAGGAAGCAAAGGAAAATGCTCATGGAAATGGGCTGGCGGGGTACAGAGAGACCACTTCTTTGTCGCCAACTTCTGGATTTCATGCACCAGGCTGAAGTAGGTGCCACACAGGCTATACGAGCAATGGAGCTTGCTGGTACGAGGTATCAGACCTATGTATTTATTTTTAAATAATTCCCCTTGCAGCTTGATAGAAAAAAGGACAAGACACACAGATGTACACGTGTAGCTGCAGAAAGATGCCACTAGCTTTTTAAAATAATGTGAGCTATCTACGGTTAAAGAAAATTGCTGTAAAATCAAAATGTCACACACATACAGTCCAAACAACTATGAAAATCCACAGGGACCAGCTAAGGAAGAAAGGCAGTTGACACATGACCTCAGGAAAGCCTTAAAAGCATCTGAGCAAAAGATCAGGCAACTCCTTAATCCATGAAGCACCCAGTTTGTGGCTGAAGGATTTAACACCTTCTGAAGAGATGCAACTTTGAAAAGCAGTGGCTGAAGCTGCCAGCCTGTGCTGCTATACTGTGCACTATTACTTCCGAGCTTCTCTCTTGCTCTTTAGCTGTTTAAAAATAAAATAATAAAAAATACACACCTCTAGCAGCAGCTGTGGCTGCAAACAACCTCGAAAGCAGGACCTGGACGTAAGCAGTGCAGAGAGCTTTCTGCAAAGCCCTGCGAACAGCAGCTCTGAGAGCACCAAACCAACGCGTTTGCCTCAGCACGCAGTAACAGCCGCTTGCGCGGCGATGTTGGACCATTTTAATTCTCACCAAAGCAAGACATCTACTTGTACATCAAACTGCGTAATATTTTATTCCAGATGCTTTGTTTTCTCCCTCAGTGAAAACACATATGGTGTATACTCGCTGACTTGCTCCGGGGAAGCCATATGGCAGGGGAGTGCTGCACGAGCACAGGATTAAGCCGCATACAGCACCGTGAAGGAGCTGCCGTTTGCAGTAAGGAAGCTCCAAACAGAAAACTTTGGCTCAACTGGCAACACCAAGACAACAGGGTCTGTTCATGAACTGAAATTTAGGCCCTCAGATTGTTTGCCTTGAATATCATTGAAATTATATGTATATATATATATGGGTATTTCATGGTTAATCTTTTTATCTGAACACTTTACCAAAAATAAGATGCACCCAATTCAAGATCATTTGTTAACACTAGGCTAGGTTATTTTAGATGCTTTTAAATGTATGTTTTGCTATACTTCTGAATTGCACTGTCAATTCACTAGCACCCTTCCTAGTCAAAGCTACAGATTTGCTGGGTGTTACTTTAGGAGTGCCTCTTGAGGTTCCAAAATGAAGAACAACATTAAGCAACACTGATGAAATGCAGTCTGTTTGCTACTGGAAAAAGGATGACAAAAACTCTGAAGCCATTTTAGCCTGTTTTAAGCAACACTGATGAAATGCAGTCTGCTACTGGAAAAAGAATGACAAAAACTTTGAAGCCATTTTAGCCTGTCAGAAAATGATACACATCTATTTCTTGGTTCATTTAGCACCATTAATAGTCTTAAAACTGTGCACACCACATCAGCTCATCATGAAGTGAATACTGATAAAGCAAATACTAGCTCACAGGTAGAGAAAGTGAGTTATTTGTGGTAATTTATTTGTGAAACTCCTTCAGTTGAGCAAAGATGAGAAAAGACACAAAGTAAATCTACAAGCCAAGGTAAATAAAATAATTCACAGGACAATAAGCCAATGAAACACTACAATGTTAAGAAATACATAGGGAGAGGTAACAGAAGGAAATTTCCTTCACCGACATACCTATTCCATCTGCAGCTATAGGGGAAAAGTTGGCCTAGACATAAAAGGGCAAATTTCCGGGGACTTTTGCAATTTGTTCAAGTAACTAGTTACAAACAGCTCTTTTAATCAACCCGAGAAGATCCTGGGAGGTGAAGGGGTGGGGGTGCCAGCAGAACCACTTCAAATGCCCCAGCCAAGAGGCAGCTCTCAGGCGAGCTCGGGAAGCCTCAGCTGAACACGCAACACAGCAGCACTAGCAGCTCTGCAAACCACAACTGCACTCGCTTTTCTGATCCTCAGAGAGCTGCCAACAAGGCTGCAAATGCTTCACCCCAACAGATCACAACCACAGGCATTAGACAGTGCAGGATTTGCGTATAGGAGCTGCTGACTGGTTGCGATGTCTGCAAGATGTGGAAAGGTCCTTGAAGCTTTAACACAGAATCTTCACACAGCCTCCTCCTAAAGGAGAACCTGCTTGTTCTTGTCCAGCTCTTTATACAGACAAGATAATTATTTATGTCATCAAGATGCAGACAGAGGACTCAGCTCTCAAGTCTGCTGTCATTTCTACCGACCTACAGGGCCTTCCTTCCCCAGTTCTACATAACCACACAGTCACCTGAAAATGCTCTTAACCTGTGCTGCTTAAAGAAAGCTACAGAAACCCCATCTCTTTCCATAGAGACAAATAGAAACATATGAATCCATATCTAAAGATAGCCCTTGCAGACAGTTCCTTACTGTGTGGAAGCAAAATAAATTGCTCTACATGACTTTAAGTCCCTCCTGCTTTGTTCCTACCTACAGCAGAAATTCATTCAGAACACCAGGAAAGACCTCTTCTCAGTCTCAGGAAAAGCAAATCAAAACATAAAGCTACAGACAAAGCGTTTTACTTGATAGTAGGTGACTCTACCATGAGTGTCCTGAGAAATGCATTCCTTCGCAAGGGGAACAAGAGCTTCCTCAGAAACTGAGATCACATCAGACCAGTTCTGACCAACCCCTTCCTCAGGAAGGGCATCTTCCTCGTGGTCCTCAGCCTTGGGATGCAGTGCCCCTGCCGTTAAAGGAGCTCAGAGCTCAGCTCTTCTCTGCAACTCCTCTGCTCCCCTCCCTGCAGGGAAGGCTGGAGCAGCGCCGAGCACAATCCTGCAGTGGTCCCCTAGCCAGTGTGGTAAGGGAGCTTGTAGCTCAGCCTTCCCTTTGGAGCACCAAGACACCAACTTGCTGCACTCGCAGGTCTACCACTGAACTGCAAACAGAGGCGAAGCATCTGTGTTGAGGCTGGGTCAAAGCAGGACCCTCTGCAGCTGTCGGGAGATGCTGCTCATCACCAGCAGTCCCCTGCAGGCCTCATATTCAGCTGATGCTGTTCATGTTCTGCCCCTAGGCCTGGAGAGCCCTGCCAAGACGGCCACTCATGGTAACTGTTACTCAGCATAGCTGTAAGAATGACAGAGGAGTCCTGAGTTACAAATCATCTGATGTCATGAAGATTTAAATCTCCCCCTTTTTTTCCTGGGTTGGGGGGAAGCACTAAACGTAAATAAGCAAATGGTTAATGCAAAAATCCAGGCAGAACAGCGGCAGTCTGCTTCCCTGCCTTCGTGTGGCTGTGCATGCACAAGAAAAGGGTATGGAGTTGGGATGCAAAATATTATCACAGATCACAACAATGACATTCACTGCACAGCTTACACAAGTTAACGTCTGCACTTGGCCCAAGATTAAGAAAGTATTTCAAATGAAATGCCAGCTGTAATCTTGTGTGTGTGTGTGTTGATAAACGCACACTTGACAAATCTGTGTATTTTTAAGCATTAGACTAGCTGGAGTTGCATGCCCCACAGTTAGGTTACACCATGGCCTGGGCACAGTCCTGTTCCCCACCTGGCTGTGGAAGGACAGCAGAAAGGACATGTATGTGCTCCGGGCATACATGACACCCAGGTAAGTAATCCCTTGGCTAATTCCCTGGACATTCCCGGAATTGTCAGACAATCTGCTACACTGGTACGTTGCTGACAGAAAGCAAAACAAAACAAAACAAGCCCACATGATTCACCTGCAGCTAGTTGCTTTTCCTCTGAAATGAGGATCTTGCTGCTGTGGTCCACACTTGTGTCACCTTCAGGATGAATTACTGCAGTGTTTTCTACCTCAAAGGCTGCCAAAAGGTCAAGGTGGAAGCCGTGTGTGAGTCACCCCACAGTAGTTCCCCAGTTTACAGTGAACACGGAATACCCCACTGATCCTCTCTGATCTGCATAAGTTCTTCCTAAGGAAGCTACGGAACAGAACCAGGATACTGGTCCTGTGACATGCTTAGAGCATAAATCAAAGTGGTCTTTGCAAGTAACAGCCTGTGGACAGCTGAAGAAGACCTTCTTCTCAAGGCACCGTTCTAGCCTGAAGTTACTTCAACACAAAACTCAGAGTTTTGCAAGAAAGTGTCTGAGCTCGAACTCATCAGCCCCATGTCTCTGGCAGGACCTGCTACGTGCAGGGCTACTGCAAAACAGAGGAAGGGTGCTTCTCTCTGCTGAAATCACACTAAACTCTCTATGAGATTTGTGCAGTTATAAATTAAACCATTGCCAGTAACCTGCAAAGATGCAGCCCCTTATTTTCATTGTCATTCCCATTTACAATTTATTGAAAAAAAAGAAAGCCCAAAGAGGCCCTAGAAGAGGGTGCCAAAGCATCTAGAAGAGGCCCTGGGTGCCAAAGCCTCCCAGTGATACTCTAGGGAGAGGAATATACCAACATCCCAGGCAACACCACCTTACAGAGGAAGGGATATCAATATGGATACATAACAACTTTCACAGCAGTCTTCAAATATGATTCTTTTAGTAAGTTTCTTACATTAAAGATGCCTGTTTAGACTTCTCTCCGAAGGATATGGTAAATGTTAAGAATCGAATTGTTTTAACCTCAAAAGCCCTCAATATTTTTTCTATAATATGTAATCAATCACATGATTTTTTTTCCCCCTGCAACACTATGGAAGGAAACTACTGCAGAAGAAAAATATTTCCATCAAGAAGAGAGGTGAACATTTATATGAATAAAGCTTTTGAAGCTGTATTGTGTAAGAGATTATATGGACTGAGACACCCCTGCCTCCGGGCAGGGCCCAACCACTAACCAGGACGTTAGAAACAATCAGGAAGCAGCTTCTCCTAAGGAACGCTTCCCAACCTGGTTTGCCATTTTCCCCAAGTGATCTTTAAAATCCGACATTCGTTTCATCCTTTATGGAAGCTCCGCTGAGGTGAGGTAAAACACGTAGCTGTCTCATGCAAGTGCTACATTGCTGCTTGGACAAACAAAGCCAAAACACAGTTCCTTTGTTTTAGTTGTTTTATAAACGAGACCTAAAACATATGTTTTAAATATGTCTTTCTACCCACCAAAGCATTTGAAATTTGGATTTTGTATCTGAACAGAAATATACCCAGCACAAATGTATTGCTGGGCCCTGGGACGGGCAATAGCTGCAGAGGGCTCAACAACACCTTGGCCTGGATCTGTTCTGTTTTTGATCATCTAGCTAAGGTTCTTTGTCGTCATGGCTATGAAAAAATGAAGACTTCACAGAAGAACATTTAAGTTATTGATTTTTTTTTACGGTGCAGTTTACAGTGTGATACAGCATTCTAAATTTTAATGCTCTTACTTCATTGAAACTTCACACAAGTGTCATCTCTACTACTTTTTTTTTTCTCCTTTAGCTTATGCCCACAGTCTAGTTGCAATAGGATGTTATAATATCCTTGTGCAGTCTCCCAGATTTGAAGATGGACTGCTTGCCTACCTGCCTGCCTTATTAGGCATTACAGATATTCTAGTTTTTGTTACCATTGTTATAGCTTTTATATTGTTGATAATGTTTTTGATATATAATCTAGCCCAGGGCCATTCACCTCTGTAAACTGCTCAACTCTCTATCTATTGATATTTAACAACATTATTTTCCTGCTTTAAATGTTATTGCATAGCTTGAATTATGTCTTTACTATTTCCTTTCTCTGTATTACCCTAGATACCTTTTTTACAACTTCCAGATAATTAAATCTTTCGCCAACCTTGAAATCATAAGATTGCACCATATTCAGTGGCTTCCTTTGTAGGCTTTAAAACTTAAAGACACACCACGCAGTTGTTTATCGTTTAATTCTCTATCTTCCATTTCTGTACTATTTTTTCATACTAGGGAAAACGTTTAACTGAGCTTCTGAACAAATAAAAACATTCCATTCCACACATATATAACTCCAGCTGATTAGAATAATCAGTAAAACACAATTTTGTTTCAAAAATTAATAATCATTTAGAATTGAAGGACAATTAAAATAGTAATTTTCTAGTTACAGATGATAATTCTTTCCTGTTTGTTTTTACGGTGCTTATCTGTGTATGAGAAAATATTTTTCTTTCTTGGCTTAATTTATTTATTCTCCCGAAACCTTTTTTAGTCAGTGAATTTCTCTTTCCTAAATGAATCTTTCATAATACAAAGTGAGTAAGAACATTTTGTATTTTTTAAGGAGATTAAAAGAACATAAGGGTTCAAACTGGAAAGCCCAGGGATAATTTTAAAACTATCATATTTGACACCAAGGAACAAGCAGGGTTTTTTGGAGGGGAGGGAGGATTTCGCCTGAAGGTGAAGTGTTGGTTTGTCATCCTCTACATGCACAAGGAAAATCTTAAGTTTCCTCAACTATTTTATTATCTCCTAAAACTTTCCGATTTGTTCTATGAAATCTGATCTAAGCTTTTTAGTTACCATTACTTAAAAATATAGCTGCCTTCGCTGTTTTGAATTTTCCTTAATCCCTCTTCCTTTTAAGATAAGTGGAATTTTATTAATGATTGAATTTTATAATATTCCTCTATTATCAGAGAGGAGAATGCAAAAGGTATTTTTTTTGAGGCCAAAGAATGACTCAATGTGATTTATTTGCCATTACTTACTTGGGGCTGACAGAATTCCAAGGTTAACCTCAGAGAGCCGCTCACTGCCAGATCTGATCGGGGACTCT